AGGGTTTAGGTATCACATCATGGCTCAAAAATGTCTGATGCTGATAGGAATTGGTCAGATAATAATCGAGCATTAATTCTGTTTTGAAAAAAAATAAACAGGTCAGCCAGCTTCATGAGGAGAGAAATTTGCCATGCCTGAACACACTTACAATTAAAAAAAATTATAATAATGATAATTTTGCACCACACTCAAAGAATGATTTAACCAACAAAACCAATAAAAAACCAATATAATTTGAAACTACTTAACTCACAGAGGCAATAGTATTTGCAGGAGTTCTGCGCACCGGTGGGGGAGCAGATGGCCATGCAGATTTAGGAGCTGTGGAGTAGGAACAATTGCATGAAGAAATTTCAAAACGTTCACTTCGAGAAAACGAGAAAACTAACCCCACATCAACCAGGAAAATGAACCCACTAGTGAATGTATTCAGTGCAGTCGCTCTGGCACGTCGGTGTATGAAACACTTCTTCGGTAGACAACTCTATGGAATATGACAAAGACAAGAGCCGTTCAGGATTTTTACCCTTTTTCAGAAACAAATTTGAAGGACTTTTCCAGGACTCCGATCGATTTCTCCAGGACTCCACATTTCATCTTAAACCCTTTCATTCCCAAGATTTTAAATTCGATTCTCCTTACAGTTTACTTACATTTCTTATATCGGAAATTCTAAAAACTTTATTGCTTGAGTTGAGCAGATTTCAAGAACTCCAGGCTTCTTCCAGGACTTTCCAGTCCCGGACAACGTTTGGGTCAAGATTGCCTGAGTATGTGATTTACCGCGAAAATAGCTCCTCACCGTGTTTAAAACTTGGTTTCTTTCGAAACAAAACCGAAGCTGGAGTGATTCTTTTTCCACTCACTCTCATGGAAAATCCACATCGCACTCGCTTTCCCACGGTCAACCAGGTCCTTGCAAAATTGCTGCGTTAACGGTGCCTTCTTCGGGCTTGTAATCATCATTTTCTCGATAAAACCGACGATGAACAATTACACCACACTACCAAACGTTATATAGAAGGAAAATAACTGGAGGAGGACAAATTTCTGGTTCGCCCTTCGAGGGCAGACGGACTGCTCTAATGGTGCAACTCTGCACCACCACTCAGTGTAGAAGTGCGCGATCTACTTTCGCGCCACAAGCACGCGTGTGACCACTTAATTCCCGTGATACCTTGCGTTAACAGATTTTCTTGAATCATTCGAAGGGTCGTTTTTCTCGGAAGGAAATGGAATAACACTGGAATACAACAAAATTCGGCAATAACAACCGTCCAGAAAAAGGATAATCCAGCGTAAAAACGGCCATAAATACCTCGAATTTCCAAAGACTCAGTCTACCGAATATACCTCAATTCACAAGTCTTACTGGAGATAAGAGAAGACTCGATTTCACATGGCCGCCAAGTATTTATCATGACAAAGTCAATGTCAGGTTCGATGTCTACATCTGAAAAGTTTCGCATTTTTATATCGATGTTGTAGAAAAGATATAGAGAAAAAAACATTATTGTATCAGTGCATCCTGATCAAATGAGCTCTAGTCTTCCAAAGCTCGATCTCGGCTTTAAGATGTTCTTTTCCTTATCTGCATGTTCCAGATCATTAGGGAGCACGATCCATGGTAAAATTTGAATAAAAATATCACAAAGGAAGAAAAATAACTGGTTCCGCCCGGGCTTGAACCGGGGACCTTCCGCGTGTAAAGCGGACGTGATAACCACTACACTACGAAACCCTTCCCGGATTTGGAAGGAAAATAATATATATTTAAATAATTTGTCATGGAAACAATGACGTCACAGAAACAAAGGCCATTTACTGTGGTCATTCTTCCATGTTCTATCTCGAGCAAAGCGACGTTCGATTTGGCTCGTATTTGATGTATATTGGTTGATAGGAAAACAACACAAAGTATTTCTTACCTTGCTGAAATTAAAGAAATCCGGAATTAAGACATATCGAACGTTCGATCACTCGAACTTATTTGAACCCAGTGAATGAAAGGGGTAAGTTTCTAAGAAACTGTGATGCTGCTCGAGGTAGTAGCTCTTACAACAAAATTTTGTCAAATGAGTTGATAATGCGAATTAGACACCGAAAAATGGTTCGAAAGCTGACGTTTTGTGCGTTAGCCCTTCATCTTTGAATCTGGAGAAGGGCTAACATTCGAAACGTCAACTTTAAATAGAGTCCTCAAGTTGGAAAAGTCTTATTAACAACTCAGTTGATAAAACCGAATTAGTTCGATCAGGTTCGGGCAAGCCAGACTGTCAAACACGGACGAGATTAAAAAAAAAATTTAAATAACCGTGCCTAATCTAAAATTTTAATTGTTCAAGTCATATTTAATGGTCGTTTCGAAGACATGTCCGGCGAGCGACAGATTGTGGAATGCGACCAATCTGACCCCCTCCTCAAACCCCAACACCACTAGCAACACCACCTCCTTGCCCTATGGTACGGATTTTGTCACAATTAAACAAAGTAGTGAACGCTTCTTTTATTTAAAACTTATCGCCGAGTCAGCATCATCTAGACCGTGATGGTGTCAATAGTGGATTGCGATTGTTCATTGTGGTTAGAACCTGTAGGTGCTCGAAGCGGACCAACTCATTTTTGACCAGCTTAGTTGTTAATTGGTATCACGGGAAACGCGCTCAGTTACACAAAGCTTCATCCAATACCTCCAACAATGACGGTGGTATACGTCTCATTAACAACTGCAGTGAATTTAGTAATAACCCTTTACATAATTTATACAGAGAAAAGAAGAATCAAGTGTGTGATTGATTAGATGCTTCGGAGAGGGGGAATGAAGTTTACATAGAGAGGGCCATGACTGAGTGAGCCCATGCAACATTGTAAGTTCCGGATCATCGTTGTCCAATTTGTAAGAAGAGAGTCTCAGTAAACGTTGCTGTTACAGTTAAAGTAGCCCTCATCCCCTACCCCCTCCAGAGAAAGAGGTCCGGACCCTCTTAGTCCCGCTGGAATTCATTTATACAGCACCAATAAACAACTACATAGCAATGTTGATTCAACATAAGATTTATTCATCACTTATAGCTCCAATTAACCCAAAATAAAGTTTGGTCTAGTTTTCAAGTCCTCTGTTGTCCAGAGTTCAGCAATATCGAAGTTTATATGGTAATCCCTGAAAAGAAGAGGGAAAAAATATAGCATGGTCAGAATAATTCTAAGACATGTTTAAACGGACAGTTCCTTTTATTTGCAAGAAGCAGAGTCCCAGGATCAAAATGTTTATTTGAAGGACGGTTTACTTTGTTTTACCATCTGGTAACTGTTTCTAGATACCCTGGAAACAGAATCTATTAACTGATATCCATAACTCATCTGTCTCACAATTCGTTCATATTTTGTTAAAACCTATTTCACTCTGTTTGTTTTCGGTTTGTTTTTCGATTTTCACGTTATCAATTCTATATCAATTTTAATCCTAATCGAGAGACGGATACTTCATGAATAAAGGTTTTTCGTAGTCAAGCTGACTCTTCTTTAATTCGCGAATCGTAAGACTGAATGGGAAACAAACTTTGTGAACATCTTTCTTTATATGGTGCTCAAACTTTACTCCCTCGAGATCTTAAGTTCTTCCATATTTTAGCTACAGAATTCTATTTTTTGCACTAGTTTATTTCTACCCTGAGATTTTAGAAATCACGTCGTGGATCATAAAGGAGAGATTAAACTTCGACAACACAGGTACTACTTGCTGAGTTGTTTAAACTAAGGAAAAGTAAAATCTATACAGAAATATAAGATGAGAACTATAGAGCAGAGAATAGCACTGGCACAGGGATACGATAGAGGACCATAAGCTAAAAGGAAGGCTATACTCCTCTAATTAACTAGCTAGTTGCTATGATGTGCGAAGTTATATCCTGTAATTCAATAACGAAACCTAAGGATACATTTAGTCAAACTTACCACTTAAATTTAAACTGCAGTCCGGCTCCATGATTTCCACCCCTGCTGTAAAATGACGGATAAGACACAATTTCAAACAAAGGTCGAAGCTAAGTAGGCATTTCCACGGTTTGGCTTTATTCCCCTAGTAACTGGTCTTGAAAACTTTCGCCTACATGTAACTCAATGATCAGGTGTAAAACTGACTAGTCGTGACTAAATCAATCCCGTTTTTCCGCCCTTATGGAAACCTTTGTTTTTACTTGGAGTGCTCATCGGCTTCCTCTGATAATTTCCTATGATCTGTTTAGCCATTGACAATATTTGGTTTTGCCATAATTACAGTCAGTTGAAGGCACTCTGAAGGGAAGTTAAAACCGAGCAAAGGCGAACATCATCAGTCTACATCATAAGGTGAACCTGTGAACTAATCACGCTGAGAGGATGAACCGACTGGGGAAATGTTGTACCCATAATGATAGACATAATCATGTAGCACTTAGAACTGAGAACATTGTTCCTTACTCTTTTGTTCGGATCCACTTTACGACCCGGTGCCCTCTTTGCTCCAAATGGAACCCCAGGAGCCACAGTTGTCGCTGTCGATGAGGTCGCTATGATTCCCCCCGGAGGATTCCAGCCAGCGTTTCGACCGACTGGCCTTGAACCGGGGGAGGCCCCAGCTGGAACTGAACTGAACTCCGAGGTTTCGCTGGTGTAAATTTGCCGAGTGCTGTTCAATAGCTTCACTCGAGGTCCCTGGAAATTGGGAAAAAAGGAAAAAATTTACTCACGGTGACTTTGTGAATTCTCAAACAGAATCTTTTCTATTCTTCCAGTTCTGCGTTGAATGAAATCGGTTCGATAACCAAATTTAAAACTGCTTCAGTGAAAGCAATACAGTTGATAGTCCGATGACGCAGTTTCAAGTTTGATGCTCTATCAACCAGGCGATGTGGTTTTCAACAAAAGGCCATGTAAAGTCAAACCTTAGATTTCTAACCTTCGGTAAGCCTATATCTGCATAGTCTTTTTCCGACATCAACAGAAGAGCATCCAGGTCAATTTCGTTTTTCTAGAATAAAAGAGCAAGTATTTTTGTTTTCAAAACTAAACCATGCTAAAATAATTTTTCTCAAAGTGTTTACTAAGTTTACCATATCCCAAGGCAAGCTAATAATGATACAGGATTATGAACGATGATCTCCAACTCCGGCTATGAAATGCATGCAATTTTTCCCTAGACGTGTTCATGCTCGTATCGAATGTTTTTGGCACAACACAGACAGCTTAAATTTTCATATTTCCTTCCGCACCAATGCGGTGGTGCTTATTGTCAATAATTACAAATGACATTAAATGAAGTCTCTCCATGATGGTAAATAGTAACTTTGCGCATTTACGGGGAAAATAAGTCAACTCTAAATTAATTTATAAAAAGTACGCTTATAACTGATAAAGTATTGGAAACAGGTCCACATGCCTTTTTTTAAGCTTATCAAGCAAAACCAATTAAATTGCTTTTACCTGGAAAAGACTGAGATGGCTCGAGAGGGAAAGCCGTTCCAAGAATGTTTGAAGTGTATCCCCTGGATTCACACCAAATTGTTCCTCATCAGAGCCTGGTAAGGACGTATTGCCGCTGATCATGGATGGCGCTGGCGCTGTTGAGACTGACGGAGCAGCTGACCAACCCGTTGAAAGTGCGGAATCTGGGGTATATGAATAACTCCAAACTCCAGCAACTTGAGTTCCCTCTAGAGGAAGAGAGAGGAAGGCAACCGCTCGAACGTTACATAACTAACGTTGAATAACTTCATCACACACCAAAAAGATTTCCTCATACAGAGCGACCAAAATCATACAAAGTTTGCCACCTTTGCAAACGGATCATAGAACATCTTATGTTTACTTTGTTATTATAATCACATTAAAGTCCTAGGCTAAGACAAACGTACTGTTGATGTACCTGTTCCTATTAACGGCGATATCCCAGGCACGGATGGAAGTGGACTGGCGGACACTCTTCTTGACGCCCTCTCTGTTCCAATTGGCCTCAGTGATGGTTTCTCCCCAGTCTCTCCTAAAGAGGAGTTTCCTGAAGCAAGGGATGTCCCTAAGGGCGAGGAATTCGGTGAGGTTGATGTTGACGGTGTTGTGGTCGGCACTGGCGAGCCAGAGGTATGAGGCGGGGAGGACGACGTCGCTTCGTGAGGCAGTGGGGTAAACAGAGCTCCAGGGGTCGTGATGTACAAGGGCTGTGTGATGGGATCAGCTGGAGACACAGAAGAGGACATATCTAGTTCTGACACGGGACCAACGGATGGTCTGGCACTAGGATGTGCGATGTCATTCCATACGCTGGGACTGAACGTCTGGCCAACATGCGATAGGATGTTGCTGATGACAGGTGGAAGGTTTGAAGACCCTGGAGAAGTGGTCACCGAGCTTATCACAGAGGAAGAGGAAGATGTTGTGACAGTAGGCGTTATATCAAGTGCACCGCTCCCTGATCCCCCAGTCACTCCCATGGCAACAGAGGAATACGAAGGAGAACCCTTAACAACCCTGGATGTTTTGCTTGCCGAATTCTTCCTTGGTATTGGCTCAGTTGGAGTTTCTGGAAACAATTGTCGCTTAGCTGGAGTCGGTGGCTTCGCCACACCAGAACTAGATGAATTACTTGTATTTGAGTTTCCACCTGATGGCTTCCTGACTGGTGCCGAGGCCACAGGAGCGGCGCCAGTAAGCGAGCTTGTCGCGGCTACTTGAGCAGCAGCCAGCGGTGTCTTCTTGCTGGTACTAGAG